TGACCGACGACGTCTTCACCTCCTGCCTCCAGTCACGGGACTACATGCAGGCCAAGAACGCGCTGCTGGCGCTCAACAGATGCGTCAAGGTGCGGCGCGCGCGCGCGGTTGGGTGCGCCGTGTGTGTGGTGGCGTCGCGCTGGCAGCTCTGCTGGGCCGCGCCCCGACGCTGCCATCCTCGTTTCCCGCCGCACGCGCATCATCCGCACTCGCTTCCTGCGGCGCAAGTCGCTTGGCGGATACACGCAGGATGTGCGCAGGATGCACACGCAAACAAGCACAACAAGGCAGTTCCTCGCAACCCCTGCCACCAACCCCTGCCCCACCCCCACCACCGCTCCGCAGGTGTACCCCGCCATCAAGCAGGACGCCGCCACCATTATCGAGCTGCTCAAGCCCATCAGGTGGGCTTTGCTTTCTGTGTTTCCAGGCTTTATGTCCGCAAAGGAGCTCGCGGCGCAGACCCCCAGCGGGGGGGGGTCTAACTAAGCCTAAGCCTGCCGGCCCGCTGCCGCCACTCCGCTGCAACGCCTGCTGGTGCTCCCAGGCGTCGAGCCTTGCCTGGCCACCCACGGCCATGCCTCTTTGCTTTCTTTGTGCCGGAGGGATTTTTTTTTCTTCGGTGGCCCCCTTTGTGTGCAGGGACAAGGATCCGCGGGAGGATCTGAAGACGCTGGCCCGCATGTACTGCACGGCCCTGGAGATGCAGATGCGGGACAAGACACGGTACGTGCGGTACCGCTCCCTGCCACAAACCGCGATGCATTTCCTGCACGCGCGGGCTGCCACCCGCGCTGCGCTCGCCTGCGCGGCGCTCTGCTCTGTTTGCTTGCCTCATTCGCTGTGTGCCCGCAGCCGGATGCAGCCCACCCCCCCCAGCCTAGGCCTGGCCCAACCTGCCCCGCCATTTCCGCTGCCCTGCCCTGCCTGCAGCAACATGGTTGCCACGCGGGAGGAGTATGGCGGGCTGCCACCCAAGAAGCGACCCCGCCCTGCCGCCTCCAAGGCTGGCGCCGGCTCCGAGGGCAAGGCCGCAGGCGGCAAGGAGGCCGGCGGCGGCGGCAAGGCCAGCGGCGAGGGCGACAGGAAGGGCGACAAGGGCGCTGCCACGCCGAAAGATGACAAGGCGGCCGCGGCGGCGGCAGGCAAGGAGGAGGGCAAGCGCGGCGCCACAGACAGCAGCAAGGGGCCCTCGCTGCCGCCGGGCATGGGCATGTCGCGGCGCGGCGAGCAGGCGCCAGGGTCGCGGGAGCGGGAGCGGCGGTCGGAGGGCCGGACGGGAGCGTCGCACGAGGGCCCCCCTCCAGGTTTGCAACGCTGAGCATGCGCAACCCTAAACTCCTGACTGGGGCTGGGGCTGGGGCTGCACTGACCTTAGCCTGTTCTTGGGCTGGGGTTGTGCACTTTCAGCTGGGCTGGGCCGCACCTT